TCCATAATTGTGGACGAGTGGAAGGTACTTACACCACCCAAGAATTTCCATCCTTTTGTTTGTTTTCTTTCTCCCACCCATTCCATTGCTAATCTCCAGTTAAAAATTCATTTTCCCCAGCCATCACCCCTTTTCCTGACATAAGGGCGATGTGCGTTCAGGTATTAGTATTTTCATCCCTGTTTGGGTGTGGAGAAAGACCAAGGATTCGTGTAATGATATCCTGTATAGAACCCATTTTTTGTGTCCGAATTAGATGGAGACTATCCCAGATTCGGTTGCTGGCATGGTACCGGGGACCGTACAAAATGCTCATAAATGGAAGATCGCTCCAAAACTCTTCTTTGCAGGAAACTCAATCTTCAAAGGAGAGTGAGTCGCAGATAATTGATGTCAAACACGTTTCTTTTTGGATTACTCCTTACCCGCATGCGTGTTGGAACTTCGCAACCCCCCAGGTCCAACTACAAATAAGTCTGGACCTAGTTGGAGTTGTGCAGGTCTCATTTCATCCTGGCTTCATGATGGGGCCCCCAAATTTAATTTGGACCATCCGGAGAATTCGCGGGAAGTCATTTCTTCGGGGTGATTTTTGTTGAACATGGATTGAAACGTTGTCTGACGTAAGGGCTCGAAAATTTCCCGCGAGGCTGCCAAAACCTAGCAAAATCATCGCCTGTTCTGGCCTTTTGGCAATACGATCTTGACGGAAATCCCTGATGCTGATGTACCACGCTTCTTGTGGATGATCTATTGTCCATCCAGAGCTCAACGCTTGTCCTGCCCGGGTGTGGTATGTTAGATCGCTAGCTTTGTGTGAGTTCCGTTGGAAAACCCTCAGTGCTCTGAGAAACTCATGTCCTTCGGCAGCTGGTAATTATATGTACGGGTTCCCGAGGATTTAGGTAAGATACAGGAAGACACATGCAGTACCTCAAAAGAAAGTTCATGTTTCAAAAAGTAAGACTCTTATTCCTTCAACGCTGTAAAACAGGGTAGAGTGGTTAAGTGAAGTGGTTAAAAAATATGTACTAAAGGTACATGTGTGAACAGTACAAGTACTTGTTCGTGCAAGAAGTAAAGAGGATCGAAAAGGGTTCAGGGACTTGAACAAAAAGTTTTCATTTTTGAAAACATGATTTGAAATTTGGCAATAAAGCTTGTATGTGAATATACCAGTCTTGATTTTTACGTAAAAAAATTTCGCCACAAACAAAAGCAGGTGGAAACTCTGAGAGTGGCTATGTGTCTGGACCCTTTTCATGGGAGGGATACTAAGGATGCCAGGGCCCGGGAGGCAAAGTACAGCTTTTGCTATGAGAATTAGTTTGCGGGAGCCTTCTTATTTGAATATACCACAGGTTGTTTTCCTGTATGGCTTGGTAATTTATGATGATTCGTGACCGGGCAGGGCGTAATATCAATATTTTCGGCAATAGTACCGGAAAGGAAAGTTAGGATTAACTTCACCTTCATTTCCTCTCTATCGCTCATTGAATACCAAATAGGGATAGCGTTTAGCCACGCCGAAAAATTCGTGGTATCCAGCTCCATGACAATGGGAGCGGAAAACGGGTCCGAATACCAGGTTAATTAGAGAAACCCCAACCGCTGGATCATCATTGATCAGCTTGGGGAAGATCCGAAAAGATCTTGGCTTGCTCAAAATATGAGGTTAGAGTGGGCAATGGTAGATGTTGGGCATTATTACGGAGTATTGTCAAGGTGGGTTTGCGATCGGTGTTCGGAGAACGCTTCCTATTGTTCTGTCCTCAAAATAGCGTTTCGGTCATCGCGTAATGAAATCGAAAATAACCGCCAGGCAGTTCCTCCGCTGTGTTTTGCTCGCCATGCGCACGGATATGTGCAGCTATTGTTAACCGATATGCTGATTGACAACCTGGCAGATGGAGCAGTGAGGAAATAATTTGACGAATAGCTGAATTGGGCTTGCCTTTTTTAATTGCTCCCGGTCCTCTAGAAATGGCTCATGTAGCAAACAAACACTAGAAAAGGATTGGGCTTACTGGTGGAATTTCCAACCAATAACCCTCGCCCATGAGGATATGCAAGGCACAGCAGCAGATATCCTGATTGGGCCTAGATGTCCGGGACATCCATTAGGGTATTGCCAACGTGCGATCCCCTCTGCAGAGTGTGCATGAGTCAAATATCTGGAACAATAATCCAAACTTTTGAGTGTCGGAGTAGTTCAATTGAGCCAAGATCACGAGGCGCAGATTCCCCATGCCTGACAGGGCCGTTGGCCCCAGCACCAGGGTTCTTGAGCCACCATCCGTCGAAGGTTTCTTTGTTCCCTCAAGGCTAATGTTTTGGCTATTACCTCGCGGGGTAAATTGCACCAATGAGAATAAAACCTTTAGAATTCATGGATGGGCCATGGCGTTTGTTCTTTGCTGCTAGCCACTTGTTCGGTCTTTGCTTCCATTGACCCCTCACCGGTCCAAAATTGAATGTGAAAACCGTATATTCGTTGTTGTGCACGTATAATTTTGTCCTTGAAAGAAGTCTCAACTGCTGGCCCTAGAATACTAGTACCATTCGCCGAAACGTTTGAATGGAGGACAGAAACGCGATGTCGAACTGCCTAATCGAGACTTGGAACGGCAAGGTGTGGGGAGAAACCTACATCATGTGCTATTGGTAACAAACAGCTGGCGTGATAAAGGCCGTGCAAGTAGCACATCATGACATTGATATGTAGTGTGGAGGCATGATCAGGCGTGGCATTGTTACGTTCTTATCCTAATGAAACAGAAACGTTGGAGAGTTCCACAAGGAAGGGACGCCGTCCCAAAGGGGTATTTCGATAGGATGTTTTTGCATCCCCAGCAAGCCATGCAAATGCCCAACAAAGATATACAGCCGCTTCTTATAGGTGTTGTGCATCCAACGAACGAACGTCCAAATTAAGTTGCGCTAGTCCAACACCTTAATCTTCCTTCTGATGTTCTAAACCAATAAAAAATCGCAAATCAATGCCCCACCCAAAAAGTTGGCCATATCGTGAACTCTATTCGAGATGGCCTCTATCAAACCAAAAATACATTTTACAAGTAGATTGGGAAAAACGGACGATATATGTGTCTCTCTTCGCTGTTCAGACAGACAATAAATGCCCTTGGCAAGGTGACTGCTTTGAAAAACGTGGGTTCGTTAATTTGCTTTGACCTACCTGCCGCTGCCCATGTCGTTTATTCCGCGTTGGTAGTAAAGATCCCGCCTGCCCTACCTCATTCATACTTACTACCTAGAAGTAATTTGATACGGTTGCTAGCATCACTTCTATTTATTACACGACCGTTCCCCCCCCCCCCCCCCTCTATTTCCCATGATCTTCTTGTCGACTATGTTGGTCAAAGCGAGGAGATGGATCTCACGACGGACTTAACCGCCATACCTTGGCTCCTGCACTATGGTTCCAGAGGGAGAATGGGCCATTATATGCGCTGTGACATCTACCAGCCCCACTACAACTAGAAGCAGGTGCAAGCAATGTGTAACAGCTCTAGCATGGACTACCTTGCACGAGTTTGAGTACGTATTTTTGCAGCATCCATGAAGTACAAGTCCTTAGTACTTATGTATTCCATGACTTGCCTGTCCCTCCCGTTCCATGTTTATTCAGCAAGGAGAAACCGATCATCCAAAAATCATATCCCCTATCTCGTTATGGCTTTGATAGTATACACTCGAACAACCCTGGTACCTTGCTCACTATATTTTCGTTATTTAAGCAACTCCCAAACCACTTATGGAATTGCGATATAGTTAGCTACCTATTGATCATACCTACCACCTGCTTAAAAGCCCGAAAAATCGGATCAGTACATCCCACGCTTTTGTGGACCGGTGCACGAATTAAAACCGCCACACCAACTCCGGGGATTGCCGAGCCACGTTCAGCTACTTGATAATCCTAATAGAGATAAGAGATTAAGAGATAACGAGCCTCTGTGATAGGCCCAGCCTCAGCCCCTCGCCGTTGATAGTAGCTGTAAAGACAATAGATGGCTGGTAGGACGTACAGGCCCATGTTGTAGTCAACAAACCCATCCCCGACAGGAGACATTGCGCTTTTATCCCATACACAGTATTCCAAAAAAGGAAGCTGAATCCCAACCTTCTGCTATAGATACATGGTTACTAAAAGCTTGTTCATATATATGTATGTATCATACAAACACGGGCCCTAAAGCAAGAAACCCAAATGGGCATTCTGAGGAGGTAATGGATCCAGGTACATCATTAGCCGCCAAACCTATGCCAAAAACAACAGCTGGTTTCCATTTCCTACTTGAATTACTCAGCATCACAAAATAAGATTTGGTTTAGAATAATTAATAAAGAGCCTAATAATATATGCTGACTTGGCGCACTGCATAGAATCTTTTGCCCAGAGTTCTCCATACTCCCCCTCCATATATCTTATGTTACAGGAAAAGGCTAACTTCGTTGGAAAGTAAAATGGTGTTTATTAAACTGGGGGAGGAAAAGCGACGAAATAGTGTGGATTATCTTAATCTCTCTTGCGACCTTGCTAAGCAGGTAGACGAAATATACACATACACGTAGCACAGGTTGGCCCTTAGACCTTTGGAATTTAGCAAGAGGGCAAGAACTCGGTACGGCTACTAGGATTTCAAACCACAAAACTGAGAGTGGTAGGCGAAACTGGAGTTGGAGCACTGCTTTTGTCTCCAATAACGGGTATTTAAATTCGCCAAGGTGGGGCTTGGAGCCACGCTCCTTGAATATGCTAGATCAGCAAACCGAGAGCCACTATTCGGTTTGGAGTGGCAGAAAACGGCGAAACGAGGAACGGGGAGGAAACAAAGAGATGTTGGTAGGTCGAAGGTTAATGGAGCAGAAACCGAGAACGGAGGGAAGGTGGCGATCTATTGTAAGTTAGCTCTCGCGAGCTTTGCCGTTTTTTTTTTGCTTCGTCCCGATGCCGTTTTTTGAATGCCGCCTGCGTACCAAAGAGATGGTTCCAAGGCACTTGTAGTTGATTCCAAAGATTCAATTACCGTTTAATCCCGGCACTTTTGAGGGTAAAGTAAGAATAGCTAGGGGGCGTTTCGTGGCGGCTGCGGGCACCAATGCAAACAAAGGTAACTTTGGGAGAAACGAGCTAACTAAATGAAGTAACAACTTAAAGGGTAAATCGGAAGTCTGAGGAATCAGCTACCGAATCAGACAATTGATTAAAGGTTATATTATGTACAATTGGGTCGCGTACTGGTACAAATTAATAATGGCAATGACAGTAACAAACAACATGCATGGAATGCCAAAAAAATGATGGTAGATAGATTAAAACCCAACCGGGACTGGAAAGGAAATATGAGTTAAAAATGTAGAAATGGCAAAAAAAAAAACAAATGGCGCCAGCCCTTGAAAAACATTTTTTTACCCGGTCCGTCGCAATCCCATGAATCATAATGAAATGCCCACCAAAAAATACAAATCAGAACAAAATATATATACTGCAACAGGCAGAAATGTATGTGCAGAATAGGTCGATAGGAAAAGGCGCTTTCGGGGGGGCTTTCTAGAAGCCGCATATCTCCAAAGCCCAAACAAAGAACAAATACGAATAATCAGAAAATGACTCCCTGGTAGATAAAACCTAACCCAAAATTAAAAGGACAACAGAGCTAATGACAATGGCAAGAACAATCATGATGTAGATAGATGATGCAGACTCACTGTTTGGGGGGCAAAAAAATAAGATCCCATCGTAGTAGGAAAAGAGCAATGATAAAAGAAAAGAACAAAGGAAGACAAAATCACCGTATGCCCGTTAGTGGAGCCCAGAAGGAAATTCCCCGTAACAAAGGAAAGCCGCAGAGTGGTAAAAACTACTCCGCAGGCACCCGAAGATTCGCTGAAAAAAAGTAGATAAAGGAAATTGTAAATCGAATCAGGTTTTTTTTTTCTTAATTTAGCAATGTCTGAAGTCCCATTCTTGAGTCACGAGGTGGTGGTGATGGAGCTTGAGTTCGCGACCCCAGGGCCGGAGTAAACTGGTTATGAGGGGCTGAATTGGAATGTTCGTGCTTCCAATGCTGGTGTCGATGAGGTTCATGAGAATGCGAATGCACAGTGGAGATATCTGGACCCCATTGGCGGAGAACGGCAGGTTCCGGAAAACATTCAATATTTTTCGAATCGTAGTAACTTTCGTCAAGGCCTGCCGAGCTAGAAGGCGATTGGAGGGTTGGAGCACTGCCTCTACGCCGCAGGTCTTGCCCTGGGAGAATTTCAACTGGGATTGGGTTTAGCGAAGGGGATGTAGCGGTTCTAGGCGATGCAGAGCAGATCGAATTGTGGTCGGAAACCATCGAGGGAGGTCCGGCTGAGGTCGAGTGTGACCTCTCCGAGGTCGTAGAAGGAGAAAACATAGCGCCCGATTCCGTATGCATAGGAGGCATATAGGTAACTATCGGGCTGAGATGGCGTTGGCTTCTAGTTGGAGATCGATGGTCAACCTCTGGCCTCGACCATTCCAGCTGAGATCCATATCCGTACTCTGTCGGCGAGTGTGGTCCCCTTCGTTCTCTCGGGTCGGCATGAGGATACTGTAATCTGACAGAGAGTTGCTGCTGTCCACGTTGAGGAGAAGAAACCCAGGACGGTTTTTGAGCCCCAAAGTTGGCCTCTTGATAATGGCTTCGATCACACGGGCCGGACATCGACATTGGATGTATGGGATGATAAGGAGGTTCGACTCGACCATTCAATGTGCGAGAGGATGGCGAAAGCCTCTCTCTGGCCTGAATCGCCAATCCCCTCCGTTTCCGGTTCATCGACCCATTCCACCAGTTCTTGACGGCGTTATCGCTTCGGTTCCCCAATCTCCGTGCAATCTCCGCCCATCTTTTTCCCATCTCGTGCACCATCCTCTCTATCATCAGTCCTTCCTCAGCAGAAATAGGCTCATGGTTCAGTGTTGGTTTCAGATTCTGGTGAAATCTTTCTCTGCATTGCTTGGGCGATCGATACTGCATGTGTTGTGAGATGCGAACCCAGTTATTCGGACCCTCGACTGCGTACCAGCTGCAGTAGAGTCTGATCCTTCTCAGGAACCCAAGGCCCTCGTCGTTGAGCCGGAGCCATTGTTCCAAGGGATTGGACAAAGAATATGTTTGCTCAGGTATTATAAAACAGTTGTTTTAAAGAGCTCTGCCAATAATGGCGAAGCTTCACGTCGTCTCAGACGAAAGGGTGAAGAAGGTGCAAACAATTAGAACGGTGAATAAACAAGCATTAGCAAGCATACTCCTAAGCAGAGATGAATTAGTGCACCACCCAGTATACCAATCCGATCTCGTGAAGAAATATTTGATAGGTAGACAGCCAAGGGGGTAGTAATAATGAGAGGATGTTATATGGGCATGGCTAAGACAGGAGCGAGTACACGGCGGAGAGAGGGAAGGAGATGGGTCACGGGTGGGCGGTGGGCATGGTCGGATTCATATACTCCGCTGGACATAACAAGACGATACAAGTGCAAGAAATTAATCCCGAGTTAGGGCCCGGGCTAAGGTATCAAAGTTTCTTACCTTCTTTTGATGACGGACTCCACAACCAGATCTGAGATCGTCAGACTTGACTCTTTTGAGACACGAGGCAAAAAAAACTGAATCGTGTAAAGGAAGGCTTCAAGGTGCGTTTTGAAGCATGCAAATTGGAGGTTTCTTCTGCTTTTCTGATACAAGAATCAAACAAGGGACCCTTTTTAGGAAATGCAAAAGAAGATAGGTTGGGAAGACAAGGCAAAGCAAGGCCTATGTCCTGCATGTATCATGTATCATTCATGTACAGATGTACTCCTGGGAAGTTGGAGAGATAACAGCTGAGCAAATGCCATACATAACATACATACATGCCCGGACCACTGTACCGCACCATGTACTTGTCTACATGCGCCGACACACGGGAGACCAAAAACCGGAGTGCATACTTGTAGTACACGCTTCTACGTCCGCTTTGGGGATCCAATCCAACTCAGAGACGAGGAAGGGGGCAAAGTCAAGACAAAAGAGGGTCCCACCCAACTGAGCCGAGCCACGGGAGCGAGAGTTACGGAGGCCCAGAAAGGTGAAAAAGCAAAAATCATAAACTAATAGGTTGGAAAAAGAAAAGAGACGAGAACAGGAACCAAAGAGTTCACTGAACCACCAAGCTGAGAGCGGCTTGGAACGAACAAATTCAGTTAGCTTCTGGAGTTAGGCAAGCACACACACTTGCCGGTTCGCTGTCACTTCTTGTGGTGGCACGCCTTTCCAGATCGTGGGGACTCGTGTTTTGCCATTGTAAAACAGGGATGCGGTGATGATTCGCAACAAGGGTAGGCTAGCAAATGGATGTTGTGCACGAAATACGGATGAGGCGGACCATTGTGACGAGCGGCTAGGGCCGTGGGTTAAGATTCCACTGCGCCGAGCCAGCAGACGAAGCGAAAAAGAAATTCTTCGAAAATAAGAGTGAATAATGAAAAATTATGAAAGAAACGAACGCCCCGCAGCCCCATGGGGGGGTCTGGTAAGTTACTGTGTACTCCTCCTCCTCCTCGATGTTAGTACGTCCGTCCTGCTGACCCCGTTTTTTTTTTCCAGTGACAGGGTGCAGCCAACGGACTGTTTTTTTTTTTCTTCTTTTCTCGCTCGGTGTCGTCTTTTCCTCTTGCTGCAGGATAATGCTGACAACAGCGAACTAGCTGGGAATAATGGGCAGAGTATCCCTGTCACTCCAAGGACGGAAACAAAATGGGGATAAAGCCATGGCCCCAAAGGGCAAACCGAAGATTTACTCACGTAACTCATGTTCAATTCAGGCATGCGGGGCTCGATGATTCGGAAACACCCAACATTACATTTTTATCAACCTCCCCCCGTCACACATTTTTGAGAATGGCATGGTTCTTTGACTTCAACTCTCTCTGATCGGCTTGTGGTGATGGTGTTCTTGCATCGCCGCCAAACTCTCGGAGCCGGTTGATAGAACTGTTGGCAAGGGGGAGAGCAACTAACTACCCTGCTTTGGCTGCTGCGAGTAAAGTTGCAACTCGCAAGTTGTTTGTTGGGTTAGTGAGGTTGGTGGCTGGTGTCAACAAGGTACAGTACATATTTTCAGACACATAACCAAAGCCGGGCTATTTACGTCAACTACGTCAATGATTCTCGTTGAGTTCCGAAACGTTCAATGGTGGAATAAATGATGCTGAGATAAAAGAGAAAGGAAGTTGGTTTTTTTTTTCTTTTTTTGAGTCCAGCTCATACCCGAATAAAACTCAGTCTTCAAGAAGCAAGGGTGTAATTTTCTTCATATCCAAACTCTCCATTACGGTCGTCATACGAGGTTTGATTATTCTAAATACTAGCCCTAGTTATGCTGCGCAATAGCTCTGTTGTAGAGCCTAGAGTCCGGTTTAAGAAAACCCACGAGGCTGCCATCTGTGTTTTGGCTCGAGGATCACAGGAGAAAGAGCGGGCACCCAGCGAGCAAGCTTCGAGGTACTCGACAGGAAGCAAAAGAATATTTATTGAATTCCACTCAAAAAATTACCAAAGAAGAAATAAAGTCCGAGCGGGTCAAAACGATGGTTCCAAACGAATCGCCAGCGGTTAATACAAGCAAAACCGTTGCTGCCAACAGCTTGCAAACTTGAAAGTCAGGATGGCAATTGCTTTTTCTATTTCCCTTTTGCTGCTGATCTTATTGTGGCTCAAGCGCATGGATCCGGCGGTGGGTACGAGCCTCAGGGCACCGTAAGGGGAGTTGCGAAATCGAGCAAAGCGAAGGAAGATCTCCCTGGCCTCCCCGGTCCATGCGCCGCTTGAACGTTACAAGGTTTTATTCTCAGACTGGAGAACAAAGGGCGCCAGCAAGGTGACAACACCAGTTAGCGTCGAGATCGGAGCTTCCGGACACAGCCAATCATGGATGATGATGCCGAGATATACGAGGTGTGGAGATTTCAAATGGCACATTACAATCCATGAGAAAGCTGGAGCCAATGATTGTGGGGCCCCGTGTTCCAAGGACTTGGGAGAGAGAGCTCTCTACTCAGCATCCTTCGAAGTTGTCAATCTTCACCACGATACCATTCCAACCCATACTAGCTCAACTTTCTTGAGATTTTTCTTCAGGGTACGGTGTTGGTCACTGCCAGGGCGGCTAAACTGTGTTGTATTGATAGAATGATGCCAAGCTTGGAGCACGCCATTTTCATAGCTTGAAACTGGACAACTGTATTGTTGTAGTTCTGGATCGTCTTGGTCTCGAGGATACTTTTTGAAGAATACAATTCGCCGCAACTCGATTAGGAAAATGCCCTCCCTGCAAAACTTTGTCCCAGTGGAGGAGATAGCGACTCGAAATATGCCAGCAACCCCTGCGATTTGCTATCAAATTTTGCTCAAGTGATGTGTGGCGAGTGTCCTAACGACTCCCACTCGGAGGAAAAAAGAAACACACACACAAAAAAAAAAAAGAAAAAGAAAAAGAAAAAAGAAAAGATGGGGAAAGGCGTTGCCTGCAGCCCGGAGTTTTCCATGCGATTTTCAAACGTTTCAGCCAGCCATAACCCTTAGCGTTGGATGGCCAGCAAGGCCATCCACTACTTTCGCTCGGCGCAAGCGTTGATGCTCCAGGAAAACATCAGTCTGATCGGGTAGATCGAAATTCTAAGTTGAAAAATTGATGGCTAGATTGAGATGATCGCGTTATCAATCGTCATAGAGAATGTTGGATTTGCAGGGGTATGGATGCTTTTTGCCATCCGGGCCATGCAATGCCTCCGCCGCTCAACAATAGTACATACATTCAAGCTTGGAACGCTGCTGCGTGGAAGAAGGCTGAGGTGCACGTTTGGCTCAGTGTGCAGCTGCATACCTCTGATCAATGCAGTTTTCGCCTAATAAACTAAATGATATTTTCCGGTATGCTCGTCATGAATCCGCAACATACGCGGTGTATACGTAACGTGCCTCCTCCATGTTTATGGAAACCGCAAATCGGTGACCATTATTTCGGCTTCGGGGAGGCTCTCCTCTTTTTGCTGCTATATTCACATGATGTTACATGGGCCTGCATTGCCCCTTTTTAAAAGCACTGACTATCAGCGCATCATCCATAGGCCAGGTCAACAAGGATTAACGGACTATATGATGTTGCCAAGCCAACGTAAACAGCCGTTTCATTTTGTTACGAGAGCGTTTTGATAGTTTCACCAAAGAGATTCGACAGAATGGAGGAAACATCGTGGACATAAGAATTTCTACGCAGCGTACATGTTTAAAATAGGCCCTCTTTCCAAAAAAAGTGTTACTCATCAAGATATATCTGCATGATAACGATGAAGAAGATTTCCCCTAAGTCACCCCTTGTGAGAAGTGATATATCATAACTATCTAGTATTCTGATGATTACATTAGCAAGGATTTTCTATTATCTCAATTCCGGAAATCAGATCACTGGTCCGATGTATACCAGCACTGCCCCCCATCATATATCCAAGCATTCTCTTTCTTATAAATACTGCCTGGTTATCATGTAATTACTAGAGTTAATATAAACAATTCAATTTATTTCATTGATATTCAGTATTTGGGTCAATATTTGGACTTTATCCAGTTCCAACAGTTATGAGCCTGGGTTAGCTATCTATCGCTATCTATTTAACTATATTGATATCTATCTATACCGACCTCCTTATTGGCAAAGATATCTATTTGATTATATCTATCTGATTATATCTATTGATCCAATCTCACCGACCTTCTTATTGATGATGATTATGGCAATATATCTACATCTATCTGATCCTCATCAACCTACATATCAATGAAAGATAGCAGTGAAATATCAGTTTATATCTGTATGATTTTATATCAATTATATTCATTCAATTCTATATTGATCATCGATTTAATTCTATACTGATTTTATATCTATATACAATAATCAAAATATCAGCAGAAAATTTCTTATCAAAAGCCTTACTTTTTTTGAATTTTTCTAGAAAGTGAAATCTATAATACAATATGATACTAAGTCTTGCCACTGAGCTTCAAGTACTGAATCTTATTAATGAGGAAAGTCTCAATAGAATG